GGGGGGCATGGCTCCCCTTTGCCACCCTTGGCTATGCCCCTATTGAATAAGGAAAAAAAAAGATTGTTCAAATTACATTCAATAAAATAAATGGGAGGGACTAAATTAGAAAATTGAGGTATTTACCTAAGTTCTACACTTTTAATATTAGTATAGATATAGATTTTTACAAAATAATACATACACAAAGCCATTATTTTGTTATTTTCTATTTAAGTTCAAGGCACAAAACATACATAACAATTATTTTAATTATTATATATCAATTATTTTTTTATTTTACTATTTTTACTTTTTAACATTAACCAAAAAATCAACTAAATATTAAACTCTCAAATATCTGGTATACAATATTTTTCTTTTTACACATAATAAATATATTTTCAAATCTATTAAAATCATATCATATGTAAATTCATAATTTTTAATTACGAAAATAATTAATATTTTTATTTCTATAATTATCTGAAATAAAAATCATTTTTTGATATAATTGTAGATTATTGGATTTAATAGATTCAATTTAATATTATATACACAAATGTTTTGTAAAAATAGTTTTATTTTTGTAAATAAGAAATATGCTATTGTTTAATTTAATTAAAATAGTAATTTATAATTTATAAAAATATATAAAAATTTTAAGATACTTATCATGTGCAAATTTATAAAATTTTAAGTACTAAAATAACTGTTCTATTATTAATATATTTTTTGTATAGCTTTTTTGAGATTTAAAATCATATAAATGTGGATTTAATAGATTCTAATAGTTTATAAAATACCAAATTTAAATATTATTCTTTTCAATTTTTAGTTTGAATTGTTGAAATAAACATATGCTATTTGTTGGGTTGCATGTAGACAAAAAATGTAATAAAAGTTATTATGTTTCATTTGTTATCAAAAGAAGCAAGGTGGTGGTTTAGTGACTTAAAGGTGTATTTAAGATTTGGGTGTAAAGGTAACAGGGGTTCATAAATCTAATAAAAAGGGTAAAATATGAAAACCCCCCTTAGGTCTTCTGACAATCATATAAACCTCCCTTGTAGTTTTAAAAATATGTATAATTTTTGTTATGAAAAAGGTTAATGTAAATATATTTATTTTTCAAAATACCAGATTTACCCTTTGTGTTGTTCATTTGAAGACAGCAAGCTATGGTTCTCTACGTGCAAGGTGCAACACCAACATCACAAAACGGGAAATGGGCAGATCGGAATCATTCTCCTTAACACCGCACTCATTGGATTATCACTTATCGAGACACCCTTTTATGGATAGGTTTCTCTTGGAATGATGAATCCATCATTTTTGTTGACTAGGATTGCTAGTTTGTGTCATCAAGTGATTTTGCCAAAGCACCTACATTAGGGGATTCGGTTTCAAGAATTGGTTTCAGCAAATACTAATTTTGTGGGTAAGAGACGAGAAATTATAAAAGTTCTCTATGAACTGCTTAACAGTAGTAGCTTTCCAGAAATTATAATAGTTCTCTAATTGGAAAAACGTGATCAGATTTTGACTGGCATAGAATTAAACCTTCCAGGATATCAGAACTAGGGCTATATTATTTACAGTGACAGATCTAAATGGAATAGCACAGCGGAGAGAGAGAGAGAGAGAGAGAGAGGTTATTTCTCATGAGTCTATTGAAGAAATCGATGGGTTTGAAGGATACAATGAATTGTCATTTATGAGACTGCAATGCAAATTGTATCTTTCGATCTATTTCAAGTTCTTTTGTACTTTATTTTTTTAATATGGGAGAATGGAGTGAGACCTGCAATTGTTTCTCTCCTGCTTATTGAAATGGTTTCTGTGAAACCTTCAAGTTGAAGCATCATTTCAATGTCTTTGTTATTAGGAGAGGTTTATATGATTGCCAAAACACCTAAGGGAGGATTTTATATTTTACCCAATAAAAAGTAGTAAACAGAAATGAGAGTATCATAGTTCATATACCTATTTTTGGGTATTAAACATATTGATATTTTAATCCTTRATATATATATATATATAAACCCTGCATTGTAACTACTTGGTTATTCTTCTAGCACCCCTATCCTATTTTATCAAATAAAGCCCCTTGATTTCGTCACCACTAAGTTATGGAGGCTAGCGGTGACATTCATAGAGGTGGTTGATGCTTTTGCCAAGGATCAGGATGAACAATCCGTACTAGGGCAGTCTGGCTTTTTTCCTTCCTATTCTTTCTTGGGTGTGATGCATACATCACACAATGTTTTCAAAACTGGACCGGATCGAAAAAATTAAGAATCAGGACTGGTTCCATTTTACCTAAAACCACTTTTTGGCCAAAATCTTTTGATTTGGTTAGTGAATAGCTGACCCAAGTGGTCAAACCGTCAAATTGTTTGACTTACGAACGGTTTTGGTCATTTTTTGTGTTTTTTAGTTTTTTCAATTTTTTTTGTCAAAGCTGGCCGTCCATTCGGACCGGATGGCCAGACCGTTTGACCCAGGAATCGGACCCCAGAAAGGTTCCCTATCCAATCTGGTTATAAAAACCTTGCTTCAAACATGCTCTTACATGTTTATTTAGCACAATTTCATATCTTGTTCTCAATATACAATTAGCATGTTCATAATTTTGTTTTAAAATTTGGCAATATATCAGCTTGTATACTTTTAGGAAAGATCCGATACTCGGAACATACAAAATTTGATAGTTTGGTATTTTCTTGTTTGGACCAGTCTGGAATGGGATCATGGTTTAAATTTGATATCATTTCAAATTTGATATCATTTCAAGAGAGATCAGATATTTTCATATCATTTCAAGAGAGATCAGATATACGGGACATACAAAATTTGATATTTTCATATTTTTTCACTTGAACCGATCTAAAACGGACCAATACACTATGTATTTAATTTTCCTTTCTTTCTACTTTTTAAATTCAAACTTAAATTTACTTTATCTCTTCTCTTCATTAAATGCTAATATTATTTAATTAAATGCTCATTTGAGTTACTTTTAGTTAAAACATTTAAGATGTCATTAAATAATAATTAGGTCGAATAAAGTTGAAGGTAAGGAGTTCTGAAACCTAGTCATTTATTTACAATAACAAATAATTAACGATTATGGCAACCTTAATTAATTATCTTAATAGCATGCATTTTTATTCTTAAAGTAATTTTTCTTCTCTTAGTGGATGTTTCTCAATAAATGCTAAAATTTGGTTATTAAAATTTATATAATAATAAGATTAAATATAAATTATATTTACTAATATACATAATAAATATTATATAAATCTATATAATAAATATTAACTAATAAAATATTAGTATATATGCACACATACATTTTAGTTCTTATATTATTTTTCAATGATTACTAATTATGTAAATAAATTAGTTATAATCACATAAAAGCTCAACTTTATTGTTAATATATTCTTTCTAAGCTTTTTTTTTAGATTTTCTAATATATCTATACATATTTTCATTCGTATTTATGCATTTCCAAAACATATCTCAATACATTTCTTAAAATTACCTTTATGATACATTTTAGGTTTTCAATACTTTAAACCTTGGTTGGGATAGATCATGACCAAAGCAAAACTAGTAGCTCTTAGCTTACAAAAGATCTTTGTTGTGTACACAGAAAATTCCTTGTTCTACTGGAATCCTGGACTTGGAGCATTCAATTACAAACGAGGACTTATGAGAAGCGAGTTCTACTGGGGTATATCATTATCAAACGTGTTTCTGCGTATCTTGTACAAAGACTCCACTGAGGTCTTTAGAAAGCTCCAGAAGACCAAATTCTCATTATTCTTTTTTTCCACCATGTCCAGTATTTTATTACCAATACTGTAACATTAATGCAACGCCATTTACAGTTATTGATCAATAATGAATAATAACAGTATTATGTGAGATGAAAAAGAGAAAAGGCTGCATTTGGCATTCCTTATTTTAAGGGCTTATCTCCTTTTTTTCTATTAAAATGCCCTTATGAACATTTAACTGTAAAAAGGAAATAAGTCCTTAAAATAAGGAATGACAAATGCAGCCTAAGTCCTGAATTATGAGAGAAGAATATTTAAATCCAAATAGAAGCGAGTGTGAGAGGTAAACGAAGAAATATTACAGTAGGTAACTTTAAATAAACTGTTCGTTCCATTTATAGGCTCAACATAAAAGGTTTGGATCTCCTTATTCAGACTCTAAAAAGTAAAAACTAAATTCAACTAGAAAACTATCCCAAGACAACTTCTAGCTACTTCAAAGCCAAAGCAAACCTATAGGGACACCCAAAAATGAAATGACACTCCTACTAATCCTACATTCCTACTACAACTAAACAAACCRAGTACTCCAAGATAGACCTAAAAAAGATTCAATCCTAACATAGATTAATACCTTACTAGTAAATGGTCATAGCTCTCTCAAAACATGTCAGATTTACATGGATTTCACCTCATGGAAAAGTTAATTCAATTACCTACCTAATGAAACTGAAATATGTAACATGGATAAGTTTTGGCCCTAAAATATGAAAGAAAAATAACCTAACCGCATCTTTAACTTTCTAAAATTCTAAAAATTCTCTAATAAAACTTTTTAAACTAATTTTAACTCCTTAAGATGACTAAAACCATATTCCTAAGACGTTAACAGACTAGGAAATAAATTTGAAAAAAAAAAACACAAACACTAAAATCCAAATGACCCAAAATAATGAAATTGCCACTTGCTCAAGAATATGAAGAAGTTTCATTTATTCTTCCATGATTACTTTCCTTGCTTCCACGCTTGAGTCACAATAAACAATAAAGTATGACCATCAGGAGAGTTTTGTTATTTATTTTTATTGCCATAAAAATGGAAACACTTGGTGGAAATAATTTGGAAACAACCTCTCTGTTTGTACAGGGGTAAGGCTGTGTACATCTGTCCCTCCCCAGACCCCGCATTGGCAGGCACCTCGTACACTGGGCTACCCTTTTAATTTGGTTTCTGCATAAGTTCAAAACAATGGTCCTTAGATCAAAAGGTTGTTTATGTCAATAAATCTTCCTTGCATGAGAACTTACTAGTTTACCTTTGCAAATCCGCTCAATCAATTCAAATATATACTATCCAGGACTGCATAACCAGCAGCAACTCCACCTTCATTTGATGATGACACTTTTGTCCGCATCAGATAACCACATTGATCATTAATTATCACTTTCTCTTTGTTCCTGCATTCCAATATGTCATACATGGTGTTGTGCTTGATGGAAAGGTATAACTTTAAAAACTTTAGTGCTATGCCAGATTAAGTATAACAAAGTTTAAAATATCCTAAGCTTTAAAGGGCTCCATCCTATTTATCAAAAAAAAAAAAAAGGCTCCATCCTGCACCTCCTGCCTTAACTACTCTCTCTCTCTCTCTCGCTCGCTCGCTCGCTCGCTCTTAATGCACACATAACAAAAAGGCAATAGAATAACTTAGTACCTTAGATAAGCACCATATATCCCAAGTTCTGATATGGCATGGTCTTGATGACAAATGCCATCCCGAACCAGAAATGCAGAAGCAGCAGTTGGAAAAATCCTTTGCATAAGAATGTAAGCAGCAAGTTCTTCAGTCCCTTCCCTTTCCAGTTTCAATAGAGTTTCCCTCACATTGTCACCATAGATATTGTTCCCTGAAGGATGAATCATAAACCATTGTTATGGAACTACCACCACAAAAATAATATTGAAACCTCAAAAAGCTAAAAGGAATAATGGTACCAAATCTGAAAAAGAAATTTCCAGAACTACTGATCAAAAACAAAGTACCAGAATACATGATTCACTTCTTCCATAATCCCTACTTTCATGCAAACAACTCAAGAGTATTGAACCTGTGAACCACTTCCAAATAGAAGGTTGAAGGCTTGAAGCAATTTCTAGTAAGTGAAGAGTGAAAGGAAGATAAGTTTCAAGAAGAATCCTGGGGAAATGGTTTATTTCAAAATTTGAGGCATTAGTAGTCCCATGGTTTATTTCTAAATCCTACAAGTGTTGGGCTCATGTGGGACTATAGACTAGGATATCATAAAAAAAAAAGAAAAACAGTATAAACTGGCGTAGGTACAGACGAAATAAATCATTCATGAGGGATTGGAAGGTTGTCGGGGCATTTGTGAGCCCAAATGGTGTGAGCTGAAATTCATAATGTCCATCATGAGTGTGAAATTCTGTTTTGTATATGTCGCCTTTGTGCACTCTAATTTGATGATAGACTGCCTCTAAATCCAGCTTAGAAAAAATCTGGGCTTTTTTGAGCTCATCCAAAAGTTTGCCAATCACTGGGATTGGAAACCGATCCTTGACTGTGATGTTATTGAGTGTCCTATAATCAATGCAACAACACCATGTTCAATCCCTCTTTTTGACCAAGAGGATAAGAGAAGAGAATGGGCTACGGCTTGGTTGGATGAATTGTTTATCTAATAATTCTTTAACTTGCTTCTCGATTTCTTTCTTTTGAAATTGAGGATAGCAATAGGGTCTTACATTTGTGGGTGCTGCTCCTGGGAGCAATGGAATGAGGTGATCGTGTTCCCGGGAAGGTGTTAATTCTGTAGGTTCCTAGAATACTGCTGCATATTGTTGGAGAAGTGCTCTAAGTTGTTGATGTTCTTCTTGTGTGATTGCATCTTGGGCTTGGGTTAACATGGGGCCTGTATGATTAAGTTCCCAGAGGATGGGCTGAGTGGGATCCTGAGCTTGTTTCAAGAGGGGAGATAGATTGATTGAACTTTTTGTTGATAGACCCTGTAGGCGAATCTTGGTTCCATTTGTCCTGAATTCCATTGACAATTGGACCAAATCGCACAATACCGGTCCCAGCTGTCTCAGCCATTGGATTCACAGAACAATACCGGCTCCGCTAAGCTCTAGTGGGTATAAGTCCACCACAAATGGCTACCCTTGGATTGTTGGTTCAATGCTTGTACATGCCCTCACAGGGAAGAGATGTACCATTTGCTACTTGGCCCTTGAATGCTGTTATAGGTTGGATTGGTAATCCCAGTTATTTGGCCAACACACCCGTTATGAAATTTAAGGTGCTTCCACTATCGATCAAGATGGACACGTGGAGCCCTTTGACTCTTCCTGAAACCCTCATTATTTGTGGAGAGTTGAGGCTGGTAAGGGCCTGGAGAGATATCTCGGGTGCTAGTTGTTGTTCTTCGGCCCAATTCAATTCTGGTGATCCATTCAGATATACACCACTTTCGGCTCCGTCTTCATTGTCATCTTGGATTGTGTAGATTTGTAAAGTTTTGCACCAGTGACCTGGCCCAAATCGTTCTTCACAATTATAGAAGAGACCCAATCTACTCAAAACTAGACAGATTTCTTTTCACTGCAGATTGGGAAGAGCATTGGGGAGACATGGTGTCAAAGGCGTTACCCAGAGTTACTTCTAACCATTGGCCAATTCAGATTAGCAAGTTTGAACCTGGAAACAAAGGACCTTCCCCCTTCAGATTTGAGAATATGTGGCTGCATTACTCGGGCTTTAAGGAGAAAGTAAAGGAGTGGTGGAATGAAAGTAACCCAAGGGTATATTGGGAAGGCATGAAATTCCATTGGAAGTTAAAAGAGTTGAAATTGAAAAATTAAGGAATGGAATGTTCTTCAATTTGGGAGGTTAGGAGAAAGAAAACAACAGTTGATAAACCAGATTGAGGAATTAGATGCAAAGGAAGAATTAGGTTCTTTAGGGATAAAGAGCTGAGGTGGGAGTTGAGGAAAAATTTGGAGGACATCCTCTTTAAAGAAGAAATTAACTGGAGGCAAAAGTCTAGACATAAGTGGATGAAGGAAGGAGACTTGAATACAAAATTCTTCCATGCCATAGCTAATGTAAGGAGGAAGAACTCCATTTCTAAGTTGGTGGTTGATGGTACAACTCTAACTTAGTAGACTGAGATTGAAGGGGCTTTTGTGGAACACTTTAAATCTATATTTAGAAGGCCCTTGAATAACAGGCTATAGATTGAAGGTTTGGATTGGCCTAGGCTCCCTCAAGAGTTGAAGGTGGGGTTGAAATAAGGGCAGCCATCTTCTCTATGGATAGATCTAAAGCTCTGCATCTCGATGGTTTCACGATGGCCTTTTATCAAAATTGTTGGGAGATACTTAAGGAGGATATTCAAAGAGTTTTCTCTGAATTTTTTGATAGAGGGGTGATTAATCCATGTATGAATTCTACTTTTCTTGCATTAATTCCAAAAAAGGAGGGAGCTTGCCACCTAAAAGAGTTTTCTCTGAATTATCTCCAAGAATTAGAGAGGCTCTCCACACAATCATTTCCCCCAATCAAGGTGCTTTTGTGAAGAATAAACAAATTGTGGATCAAATCTTAATAGCATATGGAAGTGTGGAAGATCAAAAAAGAAGTGAGAAGAAAGGGCTGGTGTTTAAATGGGATCTTGAAAAGGCACATAACTTGGTAGATTGGTCTTGTTTATTGGAAGTCCTTGAGTCTTTTGGTTTTGGACAAAGGTGGTGTAATTGGGTGAAAGGGAGGGTGAGGAGAAATAGAGGAAAGAAATGAATAATATGAAGGAGAAATAAGACCATAAGAATGGTGTTTAGAAATACAATGCGTAGTACATTTTCATTTACCTTTTCTTTTTCTTTTATCAACTTTTTGTTTACCTTTTCTTATGGCAATAGGGACATCGAGGTCTAGGAAGGGAGACTACAAGGGTGTGACCTTAGCACCTGTTGTCTCTTCAGCAATTGGAAGTGTAGGAGGTTCATGTGATGTAGGGGAAACAATATGTTCACTCTTGGCCCTATGCCGCTGGTACCACCTATGAATAGTAGGAGGATGAGGAGGCAATAGCAGAGGAACAAGAATAGTGGAGGGACTAGGGGATGAGTGTTCCACTCTGGACTCAAGAAAAGAAGACTCAACAAGAACCGGAAGGGGGAATGCAAACAACTGTGAAGAACACTCCCTTGAGATGAACCATAGAAGAGTGTAGACTCAGCAAAAGTAACATTCATTGAGACAAAACGAGTACCACTACTAGGATCAAAGCAGCAATAACCCTTTTGTGTGGAGGCATAACCAAGGAAAATGCACTTATGTACCTTTGGTTCAAACTTATGTCTCTAGGTACTAGAAATATGGACATAGCAAGTACAGCCCAAGACTCAAAGGGGAAGAGAAAAAAGCTCCTTGTTTGGATAAAGAAGATTAAAAGGAGACTTAAAACCCAAGACTTTGGATAGCATACGATTGATGAGGTATGTTGCTATAAAAATAACATCCCCCCAAACTTTGTAGGAACCGTCCAGAAGAAAAATGAAGAGAGGAGAGCTTGAGAGTTCAGCAATGAGGGTCTGAGAATGAGAGTTTCGAACCTTCTCTATCTCAGCACCCTAACATTCTTTTATTAAGATATATTTGAATAATTACAAGGAGGCCCTTAGGTGGGCAAGAATTTACAAAGAACTTAATATAGACAGGATGGGCCCAGAATAAGGCCCATTACAAAAAAGAAACATAAATAACAAGAAAGAATAAACAACCTATGGGCCATTCGGCCCATCTTCTCTACACGTCCCAAAGAAGAAAAAAAAATAGTAAATTATAGCTTTAATACCAAGAAGGAAAACAGTCCCAAAAGAAAAAGAAAAAACAGCAGTTGATTAAAAAAGGGGAAGGAACAAACGAGATAGCAAAAGAAAGAAGAGAAGGAAGAAAAGATGGAAGAGATGAGTTAATCGTACTCTCTCCCTTCTCTAATCTTTTAATTAAAGGGTTAATCACTAATTAACAATAAATTACAAGTAAGCCCTTAGTGGAGCGGCTGGCTGATTTAAAAATAAGAGAAAAAAAACTAATGCTGAAATAGGCCCATAAGAAAAGGGCCATTAAGAACAGAACAGAACATACAAGAATATAAAAAACAACTGTGGGCTATGGGCCATTCGGCCCATCTTCTCTACACTAACTCAAGGTTCTAATGAGGAACCACCTCCTTGGAGTGAGAAATTAAGAGGGAGGGAGAGAGAGAGTTGTTTGAATAAGCTTCCTGCCTCCTTTCTTTCCTCTGTTTGTATTTATTCATGAGCTTGTTACATTCTGTTACATTCTTGGAAGTCAAATCCCAGTTCTTGTTATATTTGGTTATGCCACCCTGTTATTAGTTGTGTCTGGGAGTTGACGCGGAGTTCTTCTTTTGTAGGTCTTGTGTTTGGGTTGGCTATCTCCATACACCCGGTCTTGGTTCAGTACAATTTCTTCTAACAAATAGGGTCAGAAATAAAGTCATTCGGAGGAACCTAGGAGTAGCTCCAATATGTGATAAAATGAGAGAAAGTGGATTAAAATGGTTTCACATGCATAGAAGACCACCTACAGCACCCGTGAGAAGACAAAAGTTGAATAGGCTAGAAGGGCTTAGGCAGACTAAAAAGGATATAGGTCAAAGTAGTAAGAAGTTATTTAAGTGCTCATAATTTTTGTGATCACTTGCTCATAATTTAATAATGGGATATGACATTAAACAAAATGGAACGGTACAGGACTTATGCAGCCAATCCCGTAGAGTTGGGATAATGATGATCAGATGATGATGATGTCTTTTGGGAATGATTTGTTGAATTTCTTTATCCTTTTCTACTATTTTCCTCTTTTGGATTGTTTTACTGCAGTTTGGTTGCAACAAGTTCATGTTTGTATTTCCTAAAATAATTACTTCCATAATAGAGGTGTAGCTAAGGTTTCTTTCACATTGTCACCAAACTCACCATAGGTTGTTCTTCCCAGGCTAGTGACAAATAATCACTAGCGATACAATAACAACAATAAAAACAGCTATAACAATAACAATAATGATGATGATACCAAAGAGTTGTTTGTCTCCCTATTGGTGCTTTCTTTGTAAGGTTAATGGTGAGAGTTGCTATCATTTATTGATCTCATGCTCCTTTGTTAAAGATTTATGGGAATGGTTTTCTTCTTTGTTTGGTTGCAGGTGGGCCCTGCCACCAGATGTGAAAAGCTTGTTTGCTCCATCCTTCCTCAGATTGCCACAGAAAAGAGGAAGAATAATGTGGCATTGCGTAAGGGCTGCTATTATATGGACCATTTGGGAAGAAAGAAATCTCAGACTATTCTCAGGGAAGGAGAGAAACAAGGAATCTATTCAGGAGGTGATTTGTTTCAGGGTAATGCATTGGCTCAAATCTTTGGAACTCTTCAACAATGTATCATTAGATGATTTGTCAAGAAACCGGAAAGAAGTTGCATTCTCAGCCCCAGTTCAGGAGGTATCAGTCCCAGTTTGGTCCCCACCCCCCCCACCCCCCCTCCAAGTGGCTTTCACAAATTGAACATTGATGGAAGCAGTTTTGGCAACCCAAGGGCCAGGGCCCTCAGGTATTGGAGGTGTGATAAGGGATGAAAAAGGGATAATAATTGCCCTGTTCTCAGACCCAATTGAAGCTGGTGATTGTCTTAGAGCTGAGATTTTGGCAGCTTTAGAAGGTGTGCAGAGAGTTAAGGACCTAAATACAAGGAAGCTGATCATTGAAGGAGACTCAAGCTGGTGGTGGATTGGCTGAAGGGAGAAAACAATGGGTTGTTGGTGTACAGTAATGAAAAGAAAAAGTTCAAGTGGCTGATAAAAGACATGGAAGTTAAAGTAAATTGGGTTAAATGATGTACAAACTCCCTTGCTGATGGGTTAGCAAAACAAGGGGTTAACAGGGGTATTTTGTTTTGGGCTCAACTGTAACATTTCTACTTTACTTATCTTGATTGAAGGAGATAAGAGAGGTTATCTCCTCCATTTGTATCCTTTTTTCTAATTAATGAATTATTCTGTTATTGATAAAAAAATGATACCAACAATGACAAGAAACCAAAATAATGATAATAGGAATAGGAATAATAAACTACTCCTGCCATGGATACCCAAAAAAAAGGGTAACTTAGTGAAACACTCCTACAGTTTCATGGATTTACTAAAACCTACCTTATAGTTTGCGTTTTACTAAACACCCCCTATAGTTTGCAATCAATTTACTTAATCAACCTTCCATTAGATGACAGTGGAAAATGACAGTTTTCACCCTAATACCCATTTGAATACATTTAATCAAAAGAAAATACCATTTGTGCCCCTAGTAAGACACAAGAAACCACTCTATTTGGTTCTATTTGGTCAATTTTGTTTTTTTTTACAAAGAAGTGTTAGGGGCACTTTTGGAATAATGAATCATAGGCCCATGCCCTTGAACATTTTCCACTCAGTTTAGGTGATCATTGTACTATTTTCAGATGGCAAAACAAACACTTCTTAGTGAAAGGTCGATTAAGTAAATAGGTGCAAACTATAGGGGTGTTTTAGTAAAATGAAAACTATAGGGTAGGTTTAAGTAAAATAGTAAATCTGTTAAAACTATAGGCAGTGTTCTAGTAAATAACCCAAAAAAATGACAATAGAGCAGCCAAACCTCCTCCTTCACGTTGGGGCTTGAGAACAAATAACTCAGGGCTCTTGATTGCATTCTTCACAGCATTGGAGTCATCCAAACTCCATAATCCAGCAAAGCATTTACGTAGCTTGGCAATATCATCCTTGTTCTCGAGGAACCTGCTTGGCATGGCACACAAATAACACAATGAGTAAAACAATCAATAAAAAACCAAATTCATTGCAGTTTTCCATAAATATGCAGCTTAAAAGTTCAAAAAAAGGTTAACTTGATTAGAATCAGAGAATGTCAAGTGAAACCACAGAAATCAAATAGGAACATAATTGTGCATCAGGAAACTTCATTTTAGCGAGTCATTTACTGGATTTTGAGCACACTTTTACAAATATTGGCATCTTAAGATAGATTTGCTTCTTTCCTGCTAAGAACTATGCATTGTGTTGGGGGGGGGGGTTGTATAGTGGCAGGAGAGGGATTGTCTGATACAAACCTCACAATAATGGAAATCTAGATGCTTTTCCCTCTGCTTTTTCGGTTTATCAGATAGAACTAGAGTAGGATTATGGAAAACCTATGTTTCTGGGAATTGGGACATTCCCATATGCCAAAGGTTCCATAGTCTCTATTCTATATTCAAGTTCAAGAATCTGTCATTGCATTGTGCCTCAATTTTTACATATGGTATTACCTGGAATCTTGGTTTCCTTGGGATCATAAGAGCCTTGAAGTCACAGCCTTTGTCAAAGAGTTCAGAGGCTTATTTCTGTTGASTTTACTATCTTCTCTGGGCATGTGGGTTTTTTTTTGTCAATTTACTTGTAAGCATATAAGTTCTTGATAGGGGCCAAAAGCCCTAATATTATTTTCTCATATCATCTCTCTTTCTTCTCTCTTCAGATTTTTTGTCCTCTTCCTTTCTCCATTAAAATCATTCACTTCTTCTACTATAGTCCATCTGATACCAATAGATGGGTCTAATGAATTTAGTCTAACAAGCACACTAGTCAGTACTGCTCATATTTCTTTACTAGTCTCAGATCCAATGCTTCTCTCCTCCATTTCCTCATAATTTCATGTAGAGTTTCATCACACTTCAGATCAGGGTATTATGCTGGAAGGTATCAGAATGAAGGTCAGCATCCGTGAATTACCCACCAATCAAAAAATATCTGTCAAGTACTACAATGGCATTGAAGAAGGTGAGCACTTCTTTCTCATGTGCTTCTTGTGTCAGGTAGAAAATAGGTTAGCTTGACATCTTTCCATTCAGTTAGAGTAAAACTAGGACCAACCAGAATAAGGGACATTTCATGTCTCCTTTTGGCTCACAATGGAACCCACCATCAGATTTGCAGAGCACCCTTGGACCGGTTCTCCTCCGTCCTTGCAGAGAGGGTCAGATATGAAGGTGCACTTTTTTGCTGGTATCTGGAGCATTTGGAAAGAAAGGAACAATAGGATCTTTTCTAACAGATCCACCTTCTCGAAGACCATACAACATTGAATCCTATACAGGGATGACGTCAGTGACCTTTAAGTGGATTGATTCTATGCAAGAGACTGCCAGCCCAATATCCCTTTCTTTCTTTCTTCAGCAAGAAGTACTTAGGACTGTGTCTTCCCCTACACCAATGTAGCTGTTAATCTTAATTTGATAGAGTCTCCTCAAGAATCTGGTGTTCTTGGAAATTTATGGTGCTTTCAGAGATCAGAGAAGAAACACCGTACTGGTGTTCCTGGGGCTGTTAGGTCATGGAGGCTCCACGAGGGAAGACTTGATGATTTTCCATCAAAGGTCAGACTGATGCATTCAGATGGATTGACAAAAGACAGCCATATGCCCAGAAAAAGATAGTAAGTCAACACATATTGAGAGTGTAACTTGTCCATATCTCATTCGGATGGATTACCAAATCTACTAACACCATAATGGATAGACTTCCTAGGCTATGGTTGAAAGACCTCTGAGTTGTAGCAGAGACCTCTCCAGGGAAAAAGAGTGTTTCCTTCTTACTATTTCTGGTTACTCCTTTTTATTCATTTCATGGCTTAGGTTAGGTCCCTTATCTTAGACCATGGATAGGCTTATATTTCCTTCTATTCTCCTCATTTTTACTGATTGAATAGAAGCTGAATATACTTGCTCAAAATCAATATTAATCATTTCATTTTGTACAGAGAAAATAATTAAGAAAAAAATATGGGTCTGTTACCTTTCAAGTACATTAGGTTTTGCCAACTCTTGCTGAATCTTCTTGGTTCCTGCTAAATGGTAGGAAATAGATGGGCACTTGATAGCAGAGGACTGCTCCATTAGTAGCCTAGCTCTCCATTCCTAGTCAATGAATAAGAACATAAGCATGTCAACCACCTTGAAAGAAATTGTGCAACATTAAGGCACCCTAGACTCTAGGACTGTCTAATTGTGGGCTCGGATCTGCTACCCACTAGTTGTTCCCACATCCCTACCCACCAGACATAACAGCTGCGCATTGGGAATATCTCCCTTTTCATTCATACGGAGATGTTTCCAATACACAGCGGTGGTGGGTATAGATGTGGGAACAACTAGTGGGTAACAGATCCAGAGTGTCTAATTGCAGTCCACAGAATGATAAATGACTTTGAAATCCATAACTTGATAGCACCAACCTAGGAAATCCCATGCACCCAAAGTCATTTGAAAGAATTTCAATGTGTCATTAGTCAAAAAAAGTGTGACCAATCATAAGATTACAGTAATATCAGGTGATTATACAGGTCCTTTTTTATTTGATTAGATCATTTCTTATCATGGAAGACATTCTAGGAAAGAATTTCAATGTTGTTTATCATTATTATGCATTTGCAGCATGCACTGGTCAGTCTTGCATGAACAGACATGAGAATGCCAGAGTATGGCTTGGCAAGATGGGAAAATGTAGACCCTCGGAAATGTCCAAAGAAAAATATTTTCTAGTAAAATATTCCATATATTTTGAACTCTAACATCTTATACATATGGAAAAAAGTCAAAGTTCATATTTGCTACTTAGTAACATTTTACAGGAAAATTGATCCATCATGTATATTAGCCGTCCATTCATGTCAACTTACCCAGGAGAAAAAGGAAAGTGTTACATAGAATATCTCTCAAGAATCCATGTAGAGTTGGAATTAAATGTATGACAGATAATGGACACATTATCAATTTAGGAAAGTCCATTAAAACTAGTACTGGCTGACCATCCCTGGGGCCTGCCAAAGGTACATTTCTTCCTAAGTAGGTTTTTTTTTTTTTTATTTGTGCATGTACCAGTTGACCAGCCCTTGAGTTCTGATGTATTAGGTATATGCCACAAGGGGCTTTTTAGTCTTTTCTCCTTTCTTTTAAGTTGTACGGTCGCCCTAGTATATATAATAAAAAAGGCTGGCACCACCAGCATCATCTTGAGTCTCTCTCATTCTCTTTCTCTCTTCCTCTTCTCTTCTCTTCACCCACTGTTCTAGTGATTAAAACATGGTATCAGAGCAGGACAGTGCTCTGTAATCATCTCCTGCTATTCGAAACTCTTCCCTGCTCCTCTGAACTGAGAATGGAAGAGACAAGTGCAAACTCCATCTAAAGACTGTTCGTTCCAGTTCCTGCCCCTGTTTCTTGGACTGCAACTGATTCATACAGCACCCAGAGACCAGTGGATGACTGATTGAGTCTTCTTAAGAGGTTGGTGTTCTCTTTCTGTGGTTTTCTGTTTGTTCCTGAGTTGGAAACTGTAGAGACTCCTGGACTGAATACGAACAGAATTTAAAATCAACCTTTTTTTTTAGTTCTTGTTGTTGAAACCAAGAACTTCTTAAGTTGTTCTGCTTGACTGAATGGTATAAAGGGAATTTGTCCCTCTTTGTGGGTGTGAAGACCCAATAATCTTCATGTTTGAGGAAAGTAGGTCATAAGTGACCTGGTTTGACTGACAGAGTGCAGCAGCTTTTTTTTTTAATGTGTTCTATTGTTTGTATTGCCTTAAGAAGGGGCCTATCAGATCTGTGAACATCTGTGACAGCAAGGCCTGTGCTCTGATTTAGCAGTTGTCTGTGTTAGCCTAGTTGAGTAAGGACTGTAGTAAGCTTGTGTCTGCTGCCTACATTTGGCTCCCATGAACTCTGAAGATTCTGCAACTTTGGAAACCACCTCACATCAAGGAGGGATGTCTGGTGGTTATGAGACCCTTCACTTTCCTATGACTATTACCCCTTGGACGGCAGAAATTATTTAGCTTGGTCCAAGGAGATGTGACATTACTGCCAGGGGTAAGGCTGGATATATAACTGGGATGACAAAGGAACCTAAGTCTGGTTCTGCGGATTATGATAAGTGGGACCAGGAAAATTACATGATAAAGTCTTGGCTTTTGACCTCAATGCTGCCTTCAGTCGAGCAAAATTTCATGTGGGCTGAGACAGCAAAGGAAATTTGGGATCAAGCCAATGCACCATACTCAGAACAGAGACACTATGCACGGATTTATCAGCTACAGGCAGAGTCTTTAACATGCAAGCAGGGTGAGAGGAGCTTATCAGCCTACTACTCTACTCTCACATCTGTCTGGAAGGAATTGGACTACTACCAAACCATTGAATGGGAGAGTGAGAAAGATGCCAAGGCCTACAAACAGTTGGTCTCCCAGCAACGGGTGTTTACTTTCCTTCTTGGCCTTAACCCCATGTATGAGCCTATCCGGGTATAGATTTTGGGCAGCAAGGATTTCCCGTCTGTCCAAGAGGTGTATGCTTTAGTTCAATCTGAGGAAAGTAGGAAGTCTGCTATGAATTTTCTTGAGGGGAGACCATAGCTTTAATTGTGCGAAATAACGTCAATTAAGCAAGAAAGGGGGAAAATCAGAAAAAAGTGAATGATAAGGATAAATTGTGGTGTACTCACTACCAAAAGTCTAGACACAACCGTGAGACATGTTGGGAACTGCATGGAAAACCAAAATGAGCACAGGAACTCAACAAGAAATCAGCACAAGAACAGAACAAGAAGCTGTCCTAGAAGTTCACCTCAGCCAACCTTGCCTCACATGAGTCTCAGGATTGTCCTTCTAGTTTTGATCCCAAGGAGGATATTATCAACTCCTTCTATGACCATTTGGAGCAGTATGGTAGGGCTATCAGACAAGCAGATTCTAGATCCACACCTTCTACCTCCTCAGCCTCTTCCTCAGGTAACTTAGCCTTTGCTTTTCATGTGTCTACTGATACTCCATAGTCCCCAAGGATTATTGACTTTGGTGCCTCCAACCATATCACTGGTAAGTTAACTTTGTTTCAATCATATACCCTTCTCTCTAGAAAAGATAAAGTGAGGTTAGCTGATGGATCATTCTCCTCCATTGTTAGTCGAGGATCTATATCTTTACCCTTTGGTCTCTCATCATCAAATGTTTTGCATGTTCYAAAAATTCCCATTAATTTGTTATCCATTAGTAGTATTACACAAACCTTGAACTGCTGAATAACTTCCTTCCCGATTCTTGTGTTTTTCAAGATTTGGCTTCCATGAGGACGATTGATAGAGGGAACATGGTTGATGGCCTCTATGTGCTAGAAACTAAAGTTGGTCTTGCAGTCTTAGAGTCTTTGAGTCAATCTAGTAATAGTCAAGTTTTTTTGTGGCACCATCATTTGGGTCATATGTCTTTTAAGTCTTTAAAGTACTTATTTCTAAAATTATTTAAGTATGTTTTTGTCAATGAGTTTCAGTGTCAAGTGTGCCAATTAAGCAAGCATTGTAGAACTTCATTTCCTTTACGTAATAAAATATCGGATTTTCCTTTACACATTGTGTACCCTGATGTTTGGGGACCTGTGAATATTCCAACTGAGAATGGCTACAAATATTTTATCTCTTATATTGATGGTTTTTCTCGATTCACTTGGGTGTACCCTATGCACTCACAAGAAGAAGTTACTAAGCTTGTGAAAGATTTTCAACGAATGGTCTATAGTTCTACACCCAATTTCAGACAGAGATTCAAGTCTTTCAATCAGACAATGCTAAGGAGTACTTTCATGGTGACCTCTCTAACTTCTTTACTTCTTGTGGATCTATTCACAGGAGCTCCTATGCAAGAACTCCCCAACAAAATGGGATTGCAGAGAGAAAAAACCGCCATATCTTAGAAGTTGTTCAAGGATTCTTGTTGCAGGTGCAAGTTCCAAAAAGGTTTTGGCTGGATGCTTTTATGATTGTCACATATATTATCAACAGGATGCCCTCTCAATTGTTGGAATATAGGTCCCCTTGCCAGCTCCTCTTCCCCAAGGCTCCAATGTTTCCCATACCCATGTGTGTTTTTGGGTGCCAGTGCTTCATTCATGATCTCTCCCCTACTCGGGGTAAACTTGATCCTAAGGCTATTATGTGTGTTTTTCTTGGATATCCCCTTTCTCAAAAGGGTTATCGTTGTTTTGATCTGGTCTCAAGGAAATATTTTGTCTCTATGGATGTCTCGTTCTTTGAAAATGTTCCCTATTTTTCTGTTTCCCCTCAGGGGGAGAATCTTGGTGAGGAGAAACAGAACCAAACTCAAGTCTTATTGCCTTTCCCACCTAACCCCCCTCCATTTTGTGTCTTTCAGAGACAACGTTACAGAAGTCAAGGCCAGCAAAGTTCAATGTTGTAAGGCTTATTCAATTGTTAATTGTTATTTTATAGCTGCTGTTAGTAGGCTGTTAGTCAGTTACAGTTACTTGTTTTTTCTTTTTTTCTTATTATTTTGATTCTAGGATATGCCGCCAGGGACATACTTGTAATTTCTGATTATTTTATGAAGTTAATATAAATAGAAAACTAGCGGCAGCCAGGGGTGAGTTTTCTCTCAACCATACCTCTCTCTTCCTTTCTCTCTTTCTCTCTCTCTCTCTCTCCCAATCCCCACGAATCATCACATGGTATCAGAGCAGTTTTTTTTTTTTTTTTTTTTCTAGGTTGAAGAAGACCTACGATCCCTCCTGCTTCTCTTGCCTGATCTTTAAAAGTGTTTGGACGTGGCAGTTTCTGGCGGCTGATTCTGCAGAAACCCTAGCAGTTTCTGGCGGTTATTTCTACAGAAACCCTAGCAGTTTCTGCCGGCAGTTTTTTGTGGAAACCATAGCAATTTTTAGGCGGCAGTTTTTGTGAACCCTAAATCTCCTGAAAGATACAGGAAAACTTGGGGCCAAACCTGCTGACACCCCTATAGATGTGAATCATAAACTTGGGGACTACGGTGGTGAGCTTTTGGAGGATCCAAAGCAGTACCAAAGACTTGTGGGAAGACTGCTCTATTTATCCATGACTAGGCCTGACAATAGCATATGCTGTAGGGGTTCTCAGCCAGTTTACGCATGCTCCTAAGGTAGCACATCTGGAAGCAGCAGAAAGGGTATTGAGATATCTGAAGAAATTCCCAGGGACAGGCCTATTGTTCAAGAAGTATGGTCATATGCGAATTGAGGTTTACACTGATGCTGATTGGGTTGGCTCCATAGATGACAGGAAATCCACTAGTGGTTATTGCACCTTTGTAGGGGGAAATCTTGTTACTTGGAGGAGTAAGAAACAGGGTATGGTTGCCCGATCCAGTGCAGAGGCGGAATATAGGGCCATGTCACATGAAGTTGCAGAACTACTATGAATCAAGAACCTTTTAAGTGAATTGGGTTTACAAGCTAAAGATCCTATGTCACTCTATTGTGATAACAAAGCAGCTATCAACATTGCTGCAAATCCAGTTCTCCATGATAGAACCAAACATATTGAAGTTGACAAGCATTTTATCAGAGAGAAGCTTGAGAAAGGAGAAGTTTGCACCCCTTACATCAGCTCAGAGGAACAACTTGCAGATGTCTTTACTAAGGGATTGAATTCCTTGCGACATTATGATCTATGTGACAAGTTAGAGATGATTGGCATTTATGCCCCAACTTGAGGGGGAGTGATGTAATATTAGGTGTATGCCACAAGGGGCTTTTTAGTCTTTTCTCCTTTCTTTTAAGTTGTACGGTCACCCTAGTAAATATAATAAAAAAGGCTGGCGCCGCCAGCATCATCTTGAGTCTCTCTCATTCTCTTTATCTCTTCTCCTCTTCTCTCTTCCTCTTCTCTTCTCTTCTCTTCGCCCACTGTTCTAGTGATTAAAGCAAGTTCTTCCTATGGGTAATTAGATTTCTTAGTACAAGATAATAGCAACTCTAGACCAGCTAAAATTAAACTTCACAAGGCATAGTATTAAGTTTCTCCTGGATAAAAGCTGCAATTAGACCATAGTAGAATGCTAAAAGCATTATGGAAAAGTTATTCTTACTGATTCTGAAGGATAATCATTTGGTGTATACCCAGCTCTGAAGTAGATAACAGCAACTGCTTGGCCACATCTGCAAGTATAAGGTTCCCAAATTTGTCAGTCTTAAAAAATATAACAGAGTAAATTTACAAAAATCACATAGTAAACTAAATCCAAAGTTAGAAAGCAGAAATTAGATATGTCAAATGGCAAAAAATACAAATATATAGCAAAAATAAGTGTATCACAAAAAAAAAAAACAACAAAAAAAGCATGTTAGAAAGCTACATAAAAAATGGATCAAATAAAAGAAAGAAGGGTACAAAAGAAAAAGCACAATGGTTACATACACAAGAAGTGTTCCATCTGGCAGAAGCTCCCCTTCTGCATCAATTTCTGTCAAAGTTTTACGAATGACTGTCACATCATGTGTGCTATGAAGTTGAGGAAAATAGTTGCATAGGAAAACTGCAAGACACTTTTCTACTCAAATGAATAGGAAGTCCTAATTCCCATCCTCCTAAGTTCTCCAGCAAGGATAATAACTACATAGCGAGTAAGGATTCCATGGAATTTAAGAAAAGGGAAAAAATAACAAAAAAGAAACAAATATTATAAACATTAAAATTTTATAACTTAATTCATTGCAAATGAATTATAGAAAAGCATTTTTACAACATCTGTTTCTATGTATTGGCAACTGACAAAGGGGAAGGGTAATGTGGAAAGCAGTTAGGGCAGCAGTGGTGTGGACTGTTTGGGAGGAAAGAAATGCAAGGATCTTCAATGAAAAGCAAAGGTCAAAAGAAGAAATTGTGGATTCTATAAAGATAAAGGTTGCAAGCTGGCTAAAAACACTAGAGCTCTTTCAAAGCAGTGACTGACATTACAAGAGCATGGAATGAAGTCGCAAACTCCACTAAAAGGAAAGATGAAGAAGTGATGGACTGGAAGCCCCAAGATGGCAATAAAATAAAGCTGAACTTCAATGGGAGCTCTTTAGGAAACCCGGGACCGGCAAACATAGGGGGTGTATTTAGAGATAGTTCACGGAAAGTATTGGAAATGTACTCAGGTCCTCTAGGGGTAGGAATTCAATAAAGGCTGAGCTGCTAGTGCTGTTACAAGGTCTAAAACTCGCTAAGCAAGCAAACTTTCAAAATTTGGAGGTAGAAGGGGATTCAAAACTGGCTATCTCTTGGACTACTACAAGGTAGGGGTGGCCACGGGCCAAGCTTTTCACGAGCTATTCGAGCTCGGCTCATGAAAAGTTCGACTAGGCACGGTTTAAACCAAGCTTCGAGCTGAGCTCAAACCCGATATATAGGCTCATTTGATAATCAAGTTGAGCTTGAGCACAATGAAGCTTGGTTCATTAGGCTCACAAGCCTAATCTAGCCTAGTATAATATATAAATAATTTTTAATTATATATATAATAAATAATTTTTATTATATATAATAATATTTTTATTTTTATGTATACCAGTAAATAATTTTTATAATTCTTATTTTTTGTATGTAAAATAAAAAGTATTTTTATATGTATAATTTTTACATTTTAGAAAAAGCTTGGCTTGTAGTCGAGCTTTTGAGCCAAGCCAAGCTCGAGCTTGCGAGCTTTTGGATCGAGCTGAGCTCGAGCTCAAGTCTCTAGCTCGAATCGAGCTTGTGGTGATTTGTGGGGATTGGGAGAGAGAGAGAAAGAGAGAGAGAGGAAGAGAGAGGTACAATTGAGAGAGAAAAGCATCTACTGGCAGCCGCCAATTTTCTATTTATATTAACTTCATAAAAGAATCTGAAATTACAAGTATGCCCCTGGTGGCATATCCTAGAATCAAAATAATAAGAGAAAAGAAAGAAGAAAAAACAAGTAACTGTAACTGTAACTGTAGCAGCAGCTATTAAGTAAGCCTTACAACACTCCCCCTCAAGTTGGGCTGAAGATGTCTATCATGCCCAACTTGTCACATAACTCATTGTGCCGCGAGCATGGAAGCCCCTTTGTAAGGACATCAGCAAGTTGTTCCTTGGAGTTGACATAGGGGATGCAAATTTCCCTTTTTTCCAGTTTCTCCCTTATGAAGTGTTTATCCACCTCAATATGCTTGATCCTCTCATGTAGGACTGGGTTGCTAGCGATGTTTATTGCAGCCTTGTTGTCACAGTAAAGGGACATAAGAC